GTAAAATGTAAAAATATTATGCCTATAATGACTGATATTATAAAAACTGATAGTTCTCTAATTTACTAGTAAAAGTTGTGTTCCTAGAGTTCTTTCTCAAAAAATAGGGAATATATGTCCTCTTGCCCCCCCCCCTCACATCAAGCACTGTTGAAATGATTACCGGATGTTATTCAAAAAAAGTATTGAAAAGAAAAATTGTATGTAACTTAAAAAAGAATGCATGGTTACTGTTAAAGTACCTATCTTTTCATTTGACAGGGCACTGAAAGGGATGGGCCAAATTATAATTAAATTATAAATGACAAATCAAATAAATAACAATTCTATACTATTTACAATATATAGTATTATTATTAATCTCTCTATTATAAAATAGTCGGACAAAATTATTTTTACTATCGTAATTGTATATACTCTGGTAAAAGTGTAATATTTAAAATATAAAATATATTGTACGTGCATATTTAATTAATTATTTTATATTTATTTGTGAAGTGATAACTTATCTAATGTGGTAAATCATAAGCACCAATAGCTTTTATATACCTATATTATGATACAATATTAATTTGACTTTATAATATTTTATTTTATGTTTAATATATTTCAATAATTCTATATGTATGATAAGAATATACAATTATTAAGTTTTAACATTAGGGATTAACAAAATTACTAAAAATTACTGAAAAAATCTTATTAACTATAAAATAGTAGTATATTAATCATGAATCTGAAGTTTTTCTTTTTAAAATATAGAATGATATGGCCATATAACTTATAAATAATTCAAATAATAAATTGCAATGTATTTTATTTATTTAATGATTTTAAATAACCAAGAGTACACATACTTTTAAGCTTTATTTACCAATTATCTCAAGTCATACACTTAATCATGTAGGTAATTATTTAGCATTGCTATATAGTCGTAGTAATATTATAAGTAAAAAACACATTTATATGAAATTATAGCCAAAATTTGTATGATAATATGGTAATATAATTAAAATAAAGTAGGTATATAGTTAGGTTCTATCAATATAGGTTATCATAATTGTATGTACAAAATATTTAAGAAAAGAACATTAAATTATTAAATTATTAGAATTGTTCCATTTTAAATTATCATGTTCAATAGAAATAAATTATTGCACATTTAATATGTAATATAGTAATTAGAATTAATTAAATATTTTAGAAAGTATGATAAACAAATGAGGCAAAATAAATTAAATTTAAGCACTAGCTAATATGTTTCTTAAAAATAACTAAATAATTAAAATTATTCATATTGATATTAAAAGTTAAACATATTGTCAGATCTATATAAAATACACTATTTGCCCACAAACGTTTACACAGTTTGGTAAATGTATGTATTAATATTTTGTTTAAATCAAGTATTGTGTTCATTATCAAAATTCGGAATTAAGTATCTTTAAAAAGCTGGATTAAAACAGAGAAATGATGAATAAATATCAGATTTTTCACATTAAGTGCTTTAAATATTATTGCTGTACTAGTTGAATTAGGTATAATTAATAAAAATTGTATGATACAATTTATCGTAATATGTATATTTAAATGATTATTCAAAGTTCCTCGTGAAAAACATATACCAGTTGAACAAAGAGATCAACCTTAAGTTAAATGTATAATTCTTTTATAGGAATTATTAAATATGTATCTAATTTCTTTGAAAGTACCTATAAAAAAATATGGGTAATTTATTGTTAATTGAATATGTATGTGTATCCCACTTGAACTTATAATCTAAAACTAATTCAAAATATCTTATTTCTTGTACTTCTCTAATATCAATACAATTTTAAAGGAATAAACAATTAGAATTGGATACACTTTTCAAAGAATGGACAGTTAAATTATAGTTTATAAGAATATTTGATGAATTTATTTTGAAGCAAATAAATTTAAATTTAGGTAGATTCATTTTAATTTATTTTTACAGTGTACTGTCCCCTAGTACTGTGCCCCGGGGAACACCACAGTCCACAATTAATATTAAGTGATTCACTAAGGGTATCATCTACTTTGACTCTTTCAGTTCTTTCACTTAAAAATGATTTTTTACGATTATTCGGTATTCATCTAATGTCAGACTGATCTCATTTATTTTATAATATCTTAGGATCTACTCCAGCGTTTCACAATCCATAGGTTGCAAGGTTAGGTTAAACCAAACCGATGTATTCATATATTTTTTAGATTTCTAAATTATGGAAACAGCTGCTTTAGTGGAACCTTGTTTTAAATTTTTAATCCTTAGCTATACAAATTGAACATTTTATACATTTTCAACTAGATAAATACTGCCAAAATTTTAACTTTAAATACTTATAAAAAAAATTGTGCCTATGTATTTTTAATATTTTTCAACTGCTATGGTATGTACTAAATTTTCATGCTTTTTGATCCAACCTATATAATTTTATTGACATTTATAGAAAAAAAATGAAAAAAAGGGAAATAAAAATATGTCCATCAACAGCTTAAAACGAATCAGAATATTTTCGTAATTAATTATTATATCTTAATAATCGATAAATCTATACAAACTTCTATGAAAAGATCTCTTAGATTTTTTATTGAATTGTACTACTGTAGTATTTTTTTTATTGTCATTGCCTATTGATGAATTGCTTAATACAATAATTATAATGTATTTTACAACTATAGATACGGAATGTAAAGATTTATACACATTACCTTAGTAGTTAGTATAAGATGTCCATGCACTATTTGTTATATCTCTCTGACCCACTTGCAATTTAGCATATATTTTCGTTTAATAGAACCAACCTTGTGATATTTGCTTTAGTATTTGAGTGAATTGACCTATTGTTGAAATCGAAGTTAAAAACATTATCTGTGTTTTTCAGTTGGCATAGCAAGATATTACAATTTAAAATGTAAACATTTCTGATTGGCATTAAGTAAAAATATTTTAAAAATCAATTGTCTATAATAGTATAATATGTATAGTTCAGAAATGTTCAGAATATTTTTTATATTTTATATTTTTATCGTGTACAGAAAATGCTAAATATTATATTAAAGTCGTTGAGTACCATCAATAAAAATAATTTGAGTAATAATTCGAATTCCGGCAGATGTTTTTTTTTTTTCATAACCTTATCAAAAAATGTAAATAAATATACGCAGTGAAGCTATCCTGATAAACACTTCTAAATAACGAACATTTCCAAACATACAAGATTTTCAAGAAGAAAAATTCGATACGTATCGATACGTACCACCTCGTATCGAAGTCCGAGTCCGATACGGGTCGGTACGTATCGCTTGTATACTGCACGTGTAACTTCTTGAACGCTCAAAATTGCCGCGATACGTATCGATACACTCCAAATTCTTCCTTGAAAATCTTGATAGTTAACAGTTTTTATAGAACAAACTAAAAACTTTCCATTGCCTGAACATCGTATTATATGTCTATATAATGATAATAATAAAGGTTAAAATAATTAAAAAGTTATATTATTTTAATTCCATTATATTTTTAAATTATATTGTATATCACTACGAAGAAGTGATTGTTATTCGTCAGTCACCCACAAGATTTTCAAGAAAGAATTTGGAGTGTATCGAATATCGATACGTCAAATTTGAGCGTTCAAGTAGTTACACGCACCGTTTTCGTTTATATAATTTCCATTCGGAATATTTTTTAGTACTTATCTATTATTTGTTTATGCACGTAACACGTATACGTAATGATACAAAATTATACTTTCAATAATATTTTCCCGTATTGCTGATTATTGAATTTCGTTTTTATTTACCGTTTAAAATGAAGAACATTTTGAAAAACATTGTCCAATTATTATTTTATTACACTCTCATCGGTACCTGTAGAATAACGATTATTGTTTAGGGTAAAACTCCCTGAAAAACAAAACATTTCATTTGATTCCAAAGGTTGCTATTAATATTTTAGAAAATTATATTGTGTATATATGAGCGGAAAGCGAATAAAATTAAATTGTACTCCGACTTTGGAAACAACATAGAAAAAATAATTTATTTTTCGTGATGTGTATCTATATATACAAGCGTATTGTTAAATCAATATTATAAAATCCATTTCCGGATGCCTTAACGTAGGTACACGGTACCGCAGCGGTTCCCACCCTTTTATAATGTAAGCATTACAAAATTGAACCAACTGTTATTATTGTATTTATTTGTGTATATATTTTACAAAAAAGGTATATTATGTACACTTCAATGAACGTTTTTATCGACTATCGGACTATCCGAAAAAGATATATATATATATATATTATAACACTTACTATTAATTATAAGATTCTAAGTGAGACAATTTTTTTCCCACGTGGATTAACAACCCTAAAATAATTGTTGGCGGCCCCCCGGTTGAGAATCGCTGCGGTACCGCATCGGAGGAGTGCTATATTAAAATGTGATATATATATATATATATATTATTATTATATTAAATATAAATATATATGTAATATACATATATATATACATTTGGGTTTTAAAAATTGAAAAAAAAATCAAGAAAGATCAACACCCTTCACTCCCTTTGTGTATGCCACAGAAAGGTCAAAAAGTAGGTAAACGATAACGGTATAACGGGCAAGGTCCAGCCGGATGCGACGTTACGAATTATGATAATAGAAGTGGATTTTGAACGTATTGTCGTCCAATATAATATGGGTTTTTCAATATCCAATGGATAAAATTCCGATGTACCATACAGCGTTACACAATGTACTGTTGAACATGGACATTAATTGTTAGTCGCTCTGTGGTCTCCGGTACATTCGGACGTGTATGTTTCATCGGCTTCTACCGAAATAAATATTATATAGGACTGTGCTGCAGCTATAGAGTGATTTTTTTGTTAATCTGTAATTTTTATTTTTATAATTTATTGTTTATAATTTGTATTTTTTTTATTAATTTTCAAAATTATATTTGAACAGAGTAGATATATGGAAAACGGGAATCCAAAAATGTCAAAATCGGTTACCTTTAACCCAGAACCTCCGCAAGTAGTTTTTGTGGAAGCACAGCAAACACCGAAACCTGGCTCCGTACTTGACCGGGTCCAAAAGTACGATCGCAAAATGTTACAGCGCACTGTCCAGCGGCAGCCGAGGCCACCCGCACTGCCTCCCAGAAATGCGGTGCAGATGACCGTCACCCGCACCGTCACCCAGAAACCATCACCTCCACAGCCGCTACCACGAGCCATAAATAGCTCGTTGACGGTTTGCCGTCAACAGGTTCGTACGTACCGGCGTGTATGTGATACCACCCAAACCAGTTCTGGAGGACCAACCAGGCGATGTGATGTCGGCGCCTTGCCCGGAAGAGTGGAAGTTGTGCCGACTTTGCATCAGAGGATGAAGGTCCCAGATACACCACCACCGCCACCACCATCAATGTCGCCTGCCGATGACATGGATGCTGGGGAAATTATAGTCCAGAACGAGCATCAGGAACCCGTGGAACAATCTGACGGAACTGAAGCTGTCGATGACCAAGGCGACAACCCCGGATGCGGCTCGGGTTGTTTGTTTTTTACGGTCGGTTGCATCGGGTGCATAATTGGGTGATTTTATTATTTTTATTGTTTACATTTTATTTTTTTGTTAGTAATTATCCTGCTTGTTTTGATGTTATGTACCTAATAATTATATAGTCGTATTAATAAGGGGTTAATTACAATTTTGTACAATGTAATGTAAATAAATCGGACGGATTACATTAAAGTCGTTTATTGGCTATCGGCATACCTTTAGCATAATTATTGTACATATTAAGCCAAATCTCCGTCCGCCGTGTACATAATATTGTTTTTCTATAATAACTTTTTTTTGGTTTTTTAATATACCAAAATCGTATCTTGTGTCTATATAGTTGTTTTATAATTCTTTATGTGGTTTACCTATCCCATATATTATTACATTATTTTTTACTTAACGTTACGACAATAGATCGTATATTATTCAAGTCCACACGCTTATATGCGCAGTGTACATAGTGTTGAGACGTACAGGTATGCAGCAGTGCATTAGTACAAAGTAAGTTTCAAAACGTGTTTTTGATTTAGTTTTGGAAGTAGTTGGTATGTAGGTACTTCAGAACGAAAAACGATTTTCACCGCCAGTTGATATTATCAACTCCATACATCATGATCACCTGATGTCAACGCATCTGCCGATTACATGGTGTTCACTATAGGTATAATTCTTCAAATGGATGTCACTCTTATTGTAATAATTTTTTTTTTTACGTATAAAATACTCTGTACATATTACATAATAAATATAAGTAGGTATGTCAACAATTCGGACTTCAAAACAGATTAGAATTGAAAAACAAACCGTTCATAATAATAATATTTTATTATATCAAGTAAACGGGTGGCATTGTACGAGGTAAGTAGATTACCTGTAATGGATTAAGTGTCAGTCGGGTATAATATATGTATACACCTATAGTTTCTAATATATATTGGATCTGACAAAGGTAAATTGCGCCCAACGAAGTGAAAAGATTGTAAATTGCGCGTAGCATATAAGTACTATTAATTGTAAGGAATATTATTTGTATGGTAGGCATTTAGCAGCATTATTCAGATGGCACCACGAGGAGGTTTAATTTAGTTATGTTAAAATTAAATAATTAGTACAAAATTGAAAACATTTTTTTTTTTAAATTAAGGGTGGGCATATCAAATTATTAAAAAAAAAAATTGTATTTGTTTAATCACGTAATTTAGAGAAAATAATAAACGATTTACTGTTTACACCAACAGTGTTCTACATTGTATCAAATCGATTAATTCATATGAGTCACATGGATACTATAATGGGCGTAATTTACAATCACCTATTGGATCAAAAGGAGAGGCCTAAAGCTATTAACCGCCCCTTAATAAAATGTCTATATATTATGATTATTTTTGTAATATTGTAGAATAGTATACATGGATAGTCATATAATAAATAATAATTAATTGTATTAGGTAAATTATTGTAATTATTTTCTAAGTTTTCAACTATATCTAATATTAGGGCAAAAACCAATATATCATTGTAAAACTGTAGAATATAGAATGGAATAGATTAGCTCATAAGTCAATTTTTACAGATGATACTTTGACGTTAAGGACTGGTCATTGGTGTTATTCAAATATAAAAGGTAATGTTTGTAGCTAATATAGCTATAATGCGTCAAATTAATGTATCACTCTTATTATTCTAATAATTGTTGTGTAATAAACAATGATTAATAAAATATTATACATCTGCAATACACTGTACCTATAATAATCTGATAAGCAGTGTTGGGTAGTAACGTAACGCAAATTACAAATTGCTGTAACGTAATGCAATTACTTTTTAAAACTAACTACTATGAAGTAACGCACTAAAGCATTATTTTCCGCGTTATTTATTAAAATAATAGTTTTAAAAGTATTACAAATAACAAGCCGATAAGATATCCAGAATCAATTTTATTTATTTTTGATTCCGTCGATTCCGATAATAGTTAACAATATTATTAAACATTCCAGGAATTAAAAAATTAAACTTCATTAGCAGAAAGCAAAAGTTTGACTTAAAAATAAAATTGAATTAAAATGAATTATGATTTATGATATACTACTATACTTCCTGTCTACCTATATGGCTTATCTTTGTACACACATTTAAACTGATATATCTACCTGCATCGATGTTAATAATACCTTACTAGACTGCAGTCACCATTTATAATTAATACTATATTATAGTTTATATACATATAATATATACTACCTAACCAAAATGTAAATTGTAATAATACTAATAATATAACATATTATATGAATACGAATAACATAGGCATTACCATTACTTATTACTAGTATTATAGACATGTGTAGCTTAAGTTTAAGCTCATATAATGATTGTACATTTACATAATATTATTTTGTAATTTATACATAATAGGTGTATCATCACTAGGTCTATGATTGTAAAACACATCATAATATGAATTTAATATGGTTTTTAAAAAAAATGATAACTGTGATCAGAGATAAAAAAAAGTAACGCTATTAGTAACGCACTGCTTTATTCATGAAAAAGTAACGTAACTTGATAAAAATAATTTTAGGTAACGCAAATGTTATTTAAATAAAAATATTTGAAGTAACGAGTAACGTAATTCCATTACTTTTTATAAGTAATTTACCCAATACTGCTGATAAGTCATCTCTTTGATCATAAAAAATATTTTATTGGTTGAACTTTTCGGTTATGTTTTCAGGAAAACCGGACAACCTTGGTAACTAATGCGTATTATTATTATTATTATTATTACTTACATAGGCTTAAAGTCAAAACAATTTATTAGATAAGTAGTTAGTAATAAAATTTATTATATCGAGTAAATTTGGGTTTGGCGTTGGTATCTGGTATACCCATTGCATTGTACGACTGTACGAGGTAAGTGTACCACCGATGGTGGATAGTGGTGTATAAGCAAATAAACCGACCAAAAATATAATTGTAGATTCTGACATAATTTTATTTATTTGATTTGATAATTCTAACTTATAAATGAGTTGAGTTTAGCACATTTTTCAGACGTATAGGTTTTGTAAGAACTATTTCATAAACACGTTTTGTTAATTTGATGGTAGGTTAGGAATGGTCGGGGGAAGAAGACCTCCCCTGGTCTCTGTGAGGTCTACAAAGCACATAGGTACTTGCGATACCACTATGTCACTATATATTATCAGTCTTATCGTCATTTGACGTTACGTTTGAGCAGACACGATATTCCTTCAGACACCCCTTCGAAAGGTCGTCCCAAGACTCAAATAATTCGACAACACGATAAAATAAAATCATTCGTACATTGTACCGTCGAAATACTATATGGTAAGTATTTATGGTAAAAGCTATAAAAAAATATTTGTGAAGATAGTTTCATTTTTAATTTAGATAGGGTTACAGTAGGTAATTGTTAGTTTTTCAAAAACTCATTATGTACAGTTTTAAGTCTGTCATCATTTTTATGCGTCTATAGATTAGGATATCCGTGTAAATAAAGGTTGAGAAGCATTGGGTTAATATTATAATATCGTATAAAATGTATAACTATACATAACCTATACTATTATAGTCAGTGAAGTTTCGTTGCAGAAAACTTCAGGATTATGCCGTCCGTGCCGTAAAACCATTAAGTATAGACATTACGTAATTAATACCTATTTTTAAAAATTGAAAAAATATTTTAAAAAATACTGAAAATTATAATATCACCCTTCCAATATAGGTAATAGGTAGGCTGTAGGTACCTAACAATAATAATTAAAAAATGGTCAAAGTAAGTAACCGCTCCGCTGTATAGTAGCTACATATTGGTGTCAAGTGCGTACTTGGTCATTATTGAGGTAAATGGTAAGTAACTATAAAGTATGTGTTAATACTCCAATTTGAATACTTTTATTTTTCAAAATAAATAAACGGGGAAATGAATATTATATGATACTGCAGCTAATAAAGTAATTTATTTTACTATCAGTAAAACAGAAAGTTGAAATAATTTTTTCCGAAACATAATTGTATTTGAAAATTGTATGTTTACATAAAAACATAACAGGCATTTTAGAGTCTCAAGTACTTACAAATAATATTTTTAATTTGCAACAAAATAACTAAAATCGTTATTCTCCTTTCAAATATCTAATTTCGTCCTAAGTTGAACACGAACAAGTTTTAACAACATAGTTTGTCAACATTTCTACTTAAAATGCTTAAAAATAAATTGTAGTCATTACCGAAGGTTAAAACGGAAATGGTGTCGTGATATTTTGGCACTTAAAATTAATTGAAAAAAAAAATAGTAAATGAAAGTGTTACTTATGGGTGGCAGCTTTCCTCAAAAATGTCACAATTTTTTGAGGATATGTTGTATTTTTTTTTTTAATAATTTGTATATAACTAATCTGTTTCACATCTACTTATTGTACCAAAGTGGTATAGATTGTAATTTGCATTTACAAATAAAGATTTAAAAAAAGTCATTATCGAATCTGGCACACTCCAATCCCCAAATACCTAAAAATAGGTTTGTATTATGTATATAATATATAGGGGTTTTCGATTATTTTCGTAGCTCATTACAAATGTATAACTTCAGACTAGAGTATAATAAAATTACAAAATAAAATAATAGCATTTTATATTTTATTGTGTAGTGAGTATTATACTATTATTGTGTGTTGGTGTTATATATTGCGTACCGTCATCGATCGTCGTCGATGATAAACACAATTTATGAAGTACCTACGTCCTACATAGTCGTCAGCCTAATTTGTAAGAGCAAAATCAGAACTTTTAACCTAATTAGTCTAGGAAATCAAAATCTAAAATGTACAAAATCGTATACATTGAAACCTTCTTTGACAGACACCTCCAATTTGCTTACGACTCTCAATAATGACACATTTTCCGGTCCCGGTACAGCCCCAATTGAATTATTGAATTGCGCTCGTCTAAACAGCGGACACCTCTTAATAACGGACGTGCGTAAGTTTAGTGGTGAGCTTAAATACCTCTAAATAACGAACAG